ATAAATAATAATAAGGGGTTTCTTATCAACCTGTCATGCCTGAAGGATATTCTATCCTTAGCAAAATTTAAGTCCAATGTGTGAAAAAGGATTTTGTTGTTTTCCATTCTGGATACATTTTTCTCCTCCTTTTAAAAATGAAAGAAAAAAGGGGACGGGGCCACCAGTCCCATCCATTATGAGTCTGTTGATGTTGACCTAGTTGGTGATCTTCACCAAGGACTAGACAAACAACAGCCCCCTTTGCTAGTTCACAAGGAACAAGAGCTCCATAAGAAGAGCACATGAGGAATATCCATTAATTTGCTATCAGAAAGAGTAGTCAATGATAGGGCAACTATTCTCATGGGCGTGAAACAGACTCCCTTTTCCCCATGGCTATTGAGAGGATGTGAGAAAAAATAACTCCTGCTATTTTTCCATAGCATACTGAGGTTTTTTTAGATGGAAGAGTATGCAAGCTTTTGAGTTACTAAGAACTGAAAGGTGCTAACTATTTGATCATTACGAACGGTTCCCCCCCCCCTTTAAATAGGTTAAAGTACTGTTCAATGGCATTTGTCTGAAATGGGCTTCTCATCCAATGGCTTCTCATGTATAAACACTGTGATTAAAAACAATGCCACATGGAATTGGATCTGCCCATCTTCCTGCTGGAAATAATTTTCTGCCCTGCTGTGGTTCTGCCATCTACTTAGGGTGGGAGAAGAGCTCTACGCAGATACATCTTAAAACATTTCACCCAGCAGGGACCCTAATTCCCAAATATTTCTACCAGTAGAGGTGTTCATGTCTCCCTTTAGGTCTAAAAGAGAGACAGTGAGAATATTTAAATAAGAACATGCATAGCAAACACCCAGTGTTTAACATAGGAAAACCAAGTTCAGCTTCCTAGTTGCTATAAAACTGAATTATGAGGTCATTAAGCCATGACAATCAGTTCATGTCCACCTACAGATAACAAACTGATGGAATTTTGACAAGCTCGCATCCTTATGGCATAAAACACCTGCTTTTGTAACAATCTCTGCTGTCCTCTTTATAGTTACAATCTTTGCCTTAAATTTCAACCTACCCAGAAGCTTGCATAGTTCTTCATCATGTACATTTGATTCAGTCCCCACATCTATTTTATGATTTATCTACTAGGGATGAGGCAAGATACTGATTAAAAAGGAACCTGGGTAGGTAATGGCCGTCTTTGCACAAGGTGCCTAGGTCATGGTGCAAACCCTCTAACCCAGTTAAATAACCCCAGTACAAATCCAGAGGGCTAAACTAACTCCCTGGTCAAGCTACTGTGAGATGAAAGCTCCCTTCCTATAAGGCTTCAGTAGGAACTCTATCTCCCGTTTTATTTTTGCCCTCCTTTGCAGCTATTGGAGGAGTAGGGTAGAAAAGGGTAGGGGTGCATAAGCCCCTTCCCCAACCCAGCCCAGGGATGCTGACCCCTTAAACTAGAACAAAGAAAAAGAGAACAAGGTACTCACCCTACTGCCCCTGAGGTCCTCTTGGCTGAGTTTGATTCTAGGAATGTTCTGGCTTCTTGATTGCCGGAGGAATCCTTGGAAACTTTATGGGCCTTGTTCTTATTTTTAAAAAATCAAATCACATCCCAGCTCCAACTAAATGACTTTTGGTCTAGCTGAAAGCTCCCCAGTTACCAGTATGGGAGAGTGCCATTCATCAACTATGTCTGTTAGAAGCTTGGCTTATTCAAGGTCTTTGGTAAGAACTTAAAGATAGTCCTCGTTTAGCAACCACAATTGGGACCAGCAACTCAGTCATCAAGCAAAGCAGTTGCTAAGTGAAACCGTGATTGTGTTTATGATCAACTTCAGCTTTCCCTTGCTTTACAGACCTGTGAAGGTTGTAAATGCGAGGATTGGTCGTGAAGTTACTTTTTCATCACTGCTGTAACTGTGAACCGTTGTTATACGAGGACTACCAGTACTAAGAACTCAGAGACACTTTCTGAGCTGTGAAGGCAACAATGGTGCATCATGAAGTGGTTGTGGGAGAGGAGGAAAAGGATCAAGAAGATGGAAGATTATATACATCTTAAACTCATCCTCTTTAGCACATAACCTACAGGCTAATCAATCCAACTGACGACCATGCTATTTTATTAGGTTAGCATGCCTTTGAAAGAAATACTGCTCAGAATCCAAACCTTAGCATCCATTACCCAGTGCCTAAACACTGTCAACGTGGCATGCACCTCCATCAATAGGAATAATAATTTCTTAATTGGTATTTCAGTCATTTCTATGGCACGAATTCCTGCCACTTATGTTAGCTGATTGGTCTGTGTCAGAATCTGCTTAGATAAACATTCTCCCAAACTGATGATGCCTTTGTTGCAGTAATACAAAAGTAACACAACATTGAAACACAAGACAACATAAGCAGGTAATGGTTTCCCAACATCGTATCCTTTTTCTGAGATCCCAGCAAGCATTAAAGCAGTCTGGCTACACATGGTTTACTCAAGCAAGGCAGGGAGGGGGATGGAAATCTTGCTCCATCTTACATGCCACACACAATACACATAATACACTGATCATTTCTGTAAGAAGGCAAACAGTTTTCAGAATCGTTCCATCTAGAAAAAAGTGGGTGCTTCCTTATCAGCTATCCTACATCATGGTTTGTCAAGGCAAGCAGAGAGATGGGGAAGGTGCTGCTGAGCACAGCAAACATCCTCTGGCCCCTGAAACAGTAAACGAGAGGCCTGCAATGGGACTGCCAGCTGTGTAGCACCTTGGAGCAGGGTGGGGAAGGTAAAGAAATACATCACTAGACCAAGCCAAGGAGAGTACATGGGGCACCTAGGATCATAACACAAGCAGGAGGAGCAGTCCATCCATGGAGTTTAAAGCCTTGGTGAGTGAGCCAGATAGACAGATTTAAACAACACAAGACTAGAGGATGCAGTGCCTTAAGAAGAGAGTTGTGGCTTGAAACAGAAAACGCTGTGGGCTTTCATTGCTTAAGATGGGCCCATCTGGTTCTGAACCTGCACTGGTACCAACAGTAGCTCTGAGATCCAGCTTTTCCAAGGTGGGGTTTAGGAGTGGAGTGGAGTGGAGTGGAGTGGAGTGGAGTGGAGTGGAGTAGAATAGGCTTGGTTGTGGTCATAGACCAAAAAAGGGAAAGAACCATCATAGTAAAACATTGCATAACCATAACAGCTACAGCTTACAGGAGGGCAGAGTTTATACCCAGCATAACACTACTGACCAACACTTAGGGACACAGAACTGTCTAATGTAAATAAAATAAGTCAGAATTCCCTGGGAATTTACAGAGGAGCAGGGAAGTTAACTGCCAACAGACTCCCTATAGAACTGGCAGTATAACAACATAGGGGCTGCAGTTTCTATTGCACCTACATCACGGGGACACCATTCTTCAGCAAAGGGGATTTTCCTGGACTTCCTTTCCAACACTGCTGTGAGGAGAGGCTTAAAAGCTCTCCTGAATTTAACAGGTCGATTCATATTTTGGAAAATCATTGTTCATAAATACATCACAGGGGCACCTTGTGCAATCCCACCGATCTTCTATGTCTAGAATCCTTTGTTTCCAAACTGAGTTGCCTTGCTCTAACCTCAATGGCAGCAGCTATGCTTTCAGAGAATCAGAGACGTACCAGCTGAGAACATTTCAAAAGGGAAAATGTAAGAATAGCAACATCCTTCCTAGTTGGTGGACAAAGCATAAAATAGCTGAAACTGTTACAGATCTACCTCCAATACATGTATAGCTCACCAACGCCAATAGGGGATTCCCTCTCCTGAAAATAAGCTTGTTTCAGAACAAGAATTTACCTGATGGTAACAGAAGAAGGAGAGGAATATTAGAAGGAGAGGAACACTTAAATTTTTTCCACCACTTCCCTGATCCTCCATTGAATAGCTGCTTCTACTACCCCGTGAAAGCAATTTGTATTTAAACTTCCTGCATTATCAGTGGCTAAGTCATATTTAACATCGCACATACTTTGCCCCTAAACCAGGTGGGGCTTCATTGCACCATTGTGGCCACCATCTTTACTTTTTTGATCACATGCTGCAGACACCCCTGTGCTCTGTAAACCAAACCCCTGGCATAATACACATGATAATATGAAGCCAACAGGATTTAAAATGAGCACAGGGAATCTTGACATTTTGGGAGCCAGTAGGTCCTGTTTGCATGATGTACTTCTCTGAGTCAAGAAGGAGAGAGGAAATGTGTTATGTGAATATCTAATCTGGGCACCCAAAACCATCAGCTAACACTGAGGGGATGAGTTTTAGCCCTAGATAACCCTGGAGTTCATTGGGGCTGTGGGAGAACATCTAGAAGAAGGTAGCCATGTACAGTATGTGATTTACTGAGCGGTTCACTAATTATTTCCCTTTCCAAGGACTTCTCTAGGCAATTTTCACGACTCTGTTAGTTTTCACACATGCCAAAAAAGGAGTCAGGAGTGGGTATGGGCCCCCTCCCCAGACTCTGTGATGATGCCGACTCTAATTGGAACCCTGGAAATTACAGATCAGAGCCTCCTGACCTCCACTGGAAAAGCTGAGAGGGATATATAAAATGGCCAGGACACATTGACCAGGGTGGGGAATGGCAGAGTCACCTGTGTTTGGGAACATGATGAGAGAGAAAGGAAGAGAGAGAGAGAGAGAGAGAGAAGCTTTTGAGCTGTGTCTGCTATAGTGCAAGCCTGCTAGGACAAAGAAAATTTGGAACAAGGTAGAACAGTCTTATTTTGTCCGGTGATGTGTTTCCCAGTGTGCAATGACAACTGTTGCCTTCAGGGGTATGCCAATAAAACTAAGCCCAGAGTTCCTTTTCTAAGAATGTAACATCTTCCACTTGGAGGAATCAGACACTGCATCCTCTAAACTTAGGTCAACTGTTTAAAAGGGCTGTGTTAGTTGCTGGAGTGGGAAGAAGCAGAAGACAGACCGGCATGCTTTCAAGAGACCAAGGGGCTCTACCTGAGAAGAAGTGAGCTCGGAAACCCTTCTTGGAAACGGTGTTGTCAGACTTGAATTCAATGCGCATGTTGTTGTACTGGGAGGTGATCACATCGGGCTTTTCTGCTCCACAAAACTTCCCATGTAGCTTGGCTTCAGAATTGACGCCGCTGCGCACTTCTACGAAGTCGTACTTGCATACCTAATGGGAAAAGCAAGCGGAAATAATTCCCTAGGTTTGGGGAAGGAGTAGGAAGGTGGACAGAAGTTGCCAAAGCTAAGATTTTGTTCTGCATGGAAACATATCTTCCCTTTTGATCCATGACCCCATCCTCCCACAAATCTTCGGGAACCTTTGACAGCAGCGTTATTGATTTAATTCATTCAGGAATCATCTTCTTATTTAGAACACAAAGAATGATTTCCTTTTTTTTAAATTACCACCTTTTCAGGCCAACAAAGACAGACAAGATTTTTCTCAGTTAAAATGGAATAGCCATACAGGGTCTGACTGAAAGTCTAACTCCATTTGCTCAAGCATCCATTTCTGTCAGGTTCAGCCCAAGAACCACAGCGAGACAGTCCAGAACAGTTTATCTCCTTTATTAGCTTACACCTAATAGACAGAATCTCGCCAGACTAAATCTACACCACCACAACAGTAACTCTAACCATGAGGCCCTAAGGAGGGGCCAGTCTCATTCTCTTGACTTTCCCACACTCCGGCTGGGGACTGAGGAGGTGCTTCCCCTGGAATGTCTCTCCCCCCTCCTGGCAACCTTGAAGCTCCATTCCAGAACCTTCCCCGCTCATGCCTTCCATCACAATTTCCCAGGGTTGCCATCCCAACGCTTGTCAAACAACCAGGTGAAACCATGATGCCTAACAGCCCCAAATCAACCCTCTTCATTAATTTCTCTAAATCTCCTTCCAAACTAAGTATTCCACTACTAACCAGTAGTGGTGAGTTCCATATGTATTGTACGAATAAGCTTTTGACCATATGATTCTTCTGCCCATTAATTTCATTTACTTCAGATGATATTGTTACATAGAGGGAGATGATAAATATATTTTCATCAGCTTTCACCCACATAATATTATTCTTCTATTTATCATTTCCCTTCTCCTCCCACACTCATTTCTTTACTCATCTTTCCAGTACTAATCACCCATAATGCTCCTAGAAACAAAGGAGATCTATGGCATGGAGTAAAGCCATTTTGATAGATGCCCTGCTGTTGCAAAATAATCTTCAGAAATCTCCTTTCTGTCCTTCAGAAAGCAGCACAAAGACCCAAGGCACTATATCCTCCATGTTGTTTATTTAACTGACACCCCCATCCTCCATCACTGAAATTCAGCAGCATCTCAGGAGCTCCAGGTATCCATCCATGTTAATATAAGATCTTCCTCCTAAAGGAAAACACTCACATCATTGCCTTCTGTCTCAAAGAAGTCAAATAGCAGGGATATACGATACTGAACAGGTGCCACCAGCTGCCAGATACAATTCTTGTTGGGTGGATATTCCTTCGGCCATCCAGGACTTGTGATGGAGCCATTAAGTTTGGTGAGGACCCCGCCACAGGCAGCTGCAAGATACAAAACTGAATATGGAGGCTGCATAATTCTCACACCTCATAGGTTGGCCATAGTTGTGGATCTCTATTCTAGGAGAAAATGTGTGTGATCAAATTTTTTCACTAGGCCCCACAGGACTGCCTTCTTCTAGATGTTCCTTTCCATATTCAACAGTTATTACCTGCTCTGGTCACATGAGGTATGATAAGCTTTTATCAGGAGGAAGAGCTTTTAAATCAGGCTTTGCAGGCCTTCAGATTCTATTCTAAAAAGGTGCTTTGTAAGAAGGCCAATGTAACATCTTTCTGGATCATGTCACAGTCTGCCTTTTTGGAACTGAATCCACATTAGTACAAACCCATTTTTAAAAACTGGCCTCTCTCTGTACAATTCTCTCCCTAAAAAAAGGTTTGTCAGGACTCAACCCAGCACCAGGTTTCATTAACCTTCCCTTCCAGGGCTGATTCTGTCTTTGTGTGGAAGGTATGGTTGGATCAACATCCCACATTCTGCTGAGTTGTCCATTGTACCATACATGGTGCTCTGAATCAAGATTACTCCTGCTTGTTAGTCACTCCCACTGCACTGGGAAAGCAACATAATCCTTTTTATTAGCCAATGCTCAAAATCTTTTGAAAAGTGTCAAAGTATTGCTCAATTATGACCACAGTAAGGAAACTGGGTTTAATCAAGTTTTGTTATGGTGTCCCATATCAGAAGATATTAGCTACCTTCTTTTCTAATACTTTAGTTTACAGGTTGTTGTCCATTTTATATATCAGTATGAAAGTATTGTCTGGTTTCTCTTCAGATTGTACAAATCTTCAGATTGTACATATTGATATTTGGGTTTATGATCACAAATAAACAAACTTTGAAATTAAAAAAAATGCCCTAGGTTTCTTTGGGAGCTTGATTAAGGCCTCACTTTGTCAGTAACCGCCAGGCTGATATGACTTAACTTTTCAGCTTTTCTAATATCTAATAACAGTTGTTACCGGTATAGCCTGCATTGATTATATTTGATGCTAAGGCAAGATTATATTTTATTCTCCCACTGTTTTTCAGATTCATAATGGTTTATCTTGCATCCATTTGTGGCTTTATTGTGCCATAAGCTGCTTTTGGTTGAATCTGATGAAGAAAATAGGTGTATACATTCTTAGAACCCATGTTTTCCAAGATGCTCACCTTCACACTTGCGTTTGTCCGGGGCCAACTCATAGCCAGGCTCACAGGCACACTTATAGCTGCCCAGAGTATTCACACAACGCTGCTCACACCCACCGTTGTTTGGTCTTGAGCATTCATCCACTTCTAGAATGACAAGAGCAATGAAGTCTCAGTCTACTTCTTTTCCTTTTTTGCCTGTGCCCCATCTTAGCTTCTGTCTAACACTATTCTGTTTTCAACATCGGTAGGAATTATCTACTTGGCTCCATCCCCGTGAGTTAGAGGGGGCTATTTTGATGAAGAGAGAAAGAGAAAACTGAGTGAAGGAGGAGGAGGATCAAATCCCCATGGTCAGGGAAGAAAGAATGACCGTGATTGTATGGTTAGCTTTACAAAATGAGAAGCCTATGGAAGCAGAGAAGAAGCTGGTTCTAGGAAGTAAAAGGGTGGTGTACTCAGCTGAGCCAAAAAAAAATACAAGTTTTTTTTCCCTTGTTAAGCCTGCCCCCCAGCGGCCAACTAGAAACAGTCCTGTGGAAATATTTGCCTGTTTGTCTGGATCTGCGTTTCTCAGAACTGACTCGCTTTAAAACAGAGGTGGAACCTAGCCCATGAATTGGCCCCAAAGGCCTCTCTGACTGCAGAGTTGAACTGTGGTTTCCTAGCATTTTCCAACCAGATACTTGTGAAAACTGTTTTGTAAGCCGAAAATAGCATTAATACTGCTTTTAAAAAAGCGAAGACACCTCTTCCAAGAAAAAAAAATGGAGGGCGGGGGGGGGGGGGGGAAATAACCAGCCTGGCTCAAGTGTGGACCTCACACATTGTGTCATCATCCCATCTGCTGTGGTCCTCGGGTCCTCCACAACCCTTGGCCATCAAAGCATTGCCCAACCTTACCTTAATATTCGAATATTCTCTTTTGGTTCACCAGGCTGGTCAGCCTCACCTTCTGAATTCAGTTCAGATACACCCCTGAGAGCCCTGCCATTTCTCATTGCTCTATTTTGTTTCCAGGTAAGTATGGAACCTTATCCTACTAATAGTATGGAGTCTACTCCCTTACATTAAAAGTTGTTTTCCTTTCGGCCACATGTAGGTAACCTCAGGGCCCACAAATCCCTTCTATGTCTTTCTTTTGGTCTCTCGGGGATCCCCCAACAACAACAGTCAAAAGATCAGCAGCCTGATTCCCCACCATTTTCAATCAGGAAGCAAACAAAAGATGTTTCTTTAGCAGAGCTTTGTACCAAAAAACATAATAAATGTGATATAGAAATAAATAAATAAATAAATAAATAAGTAATGCCCCACCTTCTCCTCTCCCCAGCCCAGGAGAAAAAAAATCAGAAAATCTGAACACCACTTGTCTGTGACATGATCCCCTCTACTTTGTATCATCCCTTTGTCTGATAATGTTGCTGTCTCCAGAATTATAAAGTGTGGCCATCCAAAGATGATCAACCCTGCCTTGAGCGATTTAAGCTCTATACCATACCTTTGAAGTAGTTGACTGCAAAACCAGCCTTGTTGATGGACCCGTCGGAAACAAACCTCATCCATAATTTGTTGGAGGTGCTCTTAATGTCGTCAGGCCTGTCATAGCCACAATACCTTCCAATCACAGGATCTGACTCTGTACTACCATCCCGAATCTCCAGGTAGTCATAAGCACAGTTGTCGTGACGCTCGATCTGTGGTGATAGGGAAAAAAGGGAGGACATGGGAACATTTATAGACTGCTGATTTTGATTTTGGAAATGTTTCTTAGCTCGCAGATGGACAAAACAGAAATGGAAAAGGAAGGGAAAATGAGGATAGCTGACTAACAAAGACCACTAGGGATAAAATAAAAGAGATCTGGGAAGATTATCCGTCAATAGAAAAAGAGCAAAATTAACTTTTGGGTATGGATAACAGATCAGTTCTAAAAGGTCAGATAGATAACATTCTGGATTCCTACATCTCACTGTTGACTAACTCATGCTGCTAGAAAATGGGGTGCCATTCAAGTATTCCAATTCAAGCAACCATTTCAACAGTGTAGGGACAATCCAGAAGGGACTGAAGGCCAATGTGATGTTAAATGCATCATTGTGATTTAAATGTGAACAGCATTCATGGTTCTCAGTTCAAACAGTAGCTTCATAGAAGCAATTTTTAACTGGATTGGCCTAGAGCTGAAAGAGTAGAACCTTCCTATTCAGGTGAAAATACCAGTGTCCTATCCTGATGTAATGGTATCTGGGAATGACCTTGGGAGACTGGACCCAGAGATGCTGCCTAGGGAATGGTCAGATAAGAGACAGCATAGCCCGCAGCTGGATAGTGGGCAAAGCAAGAGACTCAGAAGGAGCCCTCCCTAGTTTCTCCACCTGTAAAGGAGACCTGGGGTGGGGAATTGTACTTTCAGACTTGCAAGATTCTGTCACTGTTGCTTTACAATAAAGTAGAATAAGCTCATCTGGTGGTATTTCCTGTCTGGTCTACTTGGTAAGGCTGACACCAATTGAATAGGATGATGATGATGATGCTAAGCTTCTCTCCAGCTCTGTATCATCCTTCCAGTTTTAAACAATAGGATGTGACTCTTTTTTCCCTGTCTGTTACAGCTCTAATTAATGTTAGCTTTCCTCCCCAATGACTGCTATTTGCACTTTCAAAAATATGCTCATTAATGCAAATACATATTTAATGCTCAGCTAGCTTGGCTGTGAGAATCACTGTGTTCTTGCCTGTCTTTATGAATGGGATAAACTCAAGCCCTTGTTGATAGTATGGTGCAGCGGTGTTAGTGCATATGCTAAAACGCTGTAACTGCTCAGGGCAATTCTTCTGATACCTCAAAGGACAGGAAAGTGAGGCCAACATGGTATCCTTCTGAAACAGTGATCTTCCAAGTGCACAATTTGTTGGGTCGATAGTCATCAGGATAGTTGGGAGACTGGACGTGCCCATTGTCTTTCTTCATATCTCCCCCACAGATGGCTGGAAGAAGAATATTTACTGCATTGATATCTTGCTTTTTCTGTGGGAGCTCAAGGCAAATTACACAAAGGAGTCTTGCCTCATTTCATCCCCTCAACACTAACCTCGTCAGATAGGTTGAGCTAAAAGAAACTGATTGGCCCAAAGTCATTTAGTGAACATCACAATTAAGTAGAACTTGAATCTAAGTCTTCCTGGTCCCTGTTCAACTCTTTAGCCACACAGACTATATGAACATCTATAGAGGCATGAGAAATGCATCCATTACTTCCAGAAATAAGCATAACCCTAAAGAAAAAAGACTTGCCATCAGCTACCCCAGAAGATGTCCATCTGGCTGCCTTAATGAAATCTCTGCTTGGAATGTCACATTAGACCCATAAGTTGAGTTGAGAGGCCCCTTTTTTTAAAAGAGGCCACGTGGTTTGCAGAGGCAAAATCCATATAAACTTTATCTTTTCAAAACAGACTAAATGATCCCCCCCTCCCAAAATATAAAAGGATGGAATCTGAACAATTGCAAAAGAAATTGTCCACCGGAAGGAACAATGGAGGAACAGCCCATTCTACTTCCCTGCGGTTTTCACAAGAGAACATCTGCTGTGGAGCTGGCGGTCTCTTCCCGCTTGCCCCATTAAAGAGACGCAGGGAGTCAAAAGCTCAGATCTGGATTGGTGGACACCATGGAAGCCTGGACTGATGGCAAGTTTAAGAAAAGTGTCAATACTTTGGAGAACAGTATGAAGGAATAGCTGAATGGGTAGCAATGTTTCTTTTAGACAGAAGGCTCTTAAGATTAGCAGTTAGAAGGCATTGTGCAGCTATTTATTAATTCCCTTCTAAATAGCGTTTCTGTAATAATGACAAAGACAGAAGATCTGGCTGAGAAAAGACTGTTACACACTAAAGATGTTGCCCATCAATAAAAACCTAACCTGGAAATGCCCCTCGAGATGGAAGACAGCAGATGCTTAATACAGTTTGTCTACTGTTATTTCTAGCACTGTAAGCTTTTTAGAAATTAATCTATTATGCTACCATATTATTAATATTTAATCAATCTTTATTGCTTAACTAGGAGGTGTTGCAGTAGAAAAGAAAAAAAAATTACAGCATGTTGCATTGCCATTACAAGTCCAAATGCCCTTTGAAATCGACTAGTTTGTTACGTTTTCCCCTTTGGAAATGAATTGCTAAGATGAAAGGTCTACTCTAAGTATAGTTAGCCTATTATCCAGACCCAGCTCTTTCTGAATGTTCAAAATAGGGACTTGTAAGCTAAAAAAGTATACATATTCCTTGTCAATACTAGGAGAACCCTAAACATCTGTATGCTTTGATAAGTAGAAACTTTCCAACACATTTATTTGAACGTACAACAGACTAGCACCTAAATATATTATTCTTTCATCTTTGATTCTGCACTCTTTGCCTCAAATTACTTTGCCTGGACTAAAAACAAAAAAGTTTTACCTTCATAGACTGCAAAGAATCCTTTGCCAACCCAGTTGCTGCTACTGCGGAATTCAATCCAAAGGCGGCTGTCAGTGGAGAGAATTGAGTCTGGGAGTTTACTTCCACAGAACCTACCTAGAGGAAAAAAACACACACACCCTACTGACTTGGATTGCTTTATTATTCCATGGCAAAGCATTTATTGCAGAATTGCACATATTTTGGGTCTGATCAGCTATCTAACTTCTTCCTCCCCCGCAAAAGTTTCATGCAAGTGGAATCTTGGAAGCAGAATCATCTCCCCGCCCCAGCAAATGTAAAGAATATTTGCAAAAGTTATGTAATTTAATCTGAAAAAAATATTATACATCTAGAATATGAAGCCTTAAAAAAAAACAAGGAATGAAAAAAGGACTTGGATAAATTAAAGAAGAGAGATAGGAAGAAGGGACTTTCTTGCTGAGACATCATCGAGAAAGTGGTTTGGTTGTCAAAGCTATGCCAATTGATAATGCAAATTAGATACAGTTTATAACAATAGTTAAGGGTGAGCAGAATAAGTAAAGGAGCATGTTCTAGATCAATGCAGTTTTCAGATCAAGATGGAATTGCATTTGAATGATGCACTGAGTGCAAATTGGCTGAGGCACATTAGTCATACACCAGCTACAGACTTTCAATCTTCTTATCATATCTAGTATCTCAGTCCAGATGACTGTAAAGGAAGCCAACTTAACTGTTAAAAGTGAAAATAATGACTGTTTACGTAATGACTGCAGGACAGAGGTGTGTAAACATTTTTTTTTTCATTAAGAGTAGATTTATCTATCTTTATTACTGTACTTCGATGAAGGGGGAAATACTTATGCCTCAAAACACCACTGCCCTCAAAGGCTTTTGTAAGCCATGAAATGAAGAGAATAGAAAACCAAATAAATCATGATTGGGCTGTGCAAAGGGGAAGGAAGTCGATAAAGGAGCCTGGGAGGTGTTTTGATTGTTAAATATATTCCCCAATGAGATTTGGCCACATGTCATGATCACCCATACGTTCTTGTTGATTACCTCGTAGAGGTGCTTTCCTCCAGAACCCGTCTCTCACCTCCACGTAGTCATACCAACATAGCCGGCTGCGGTATAGATCCAGGGATGTAAAGTTCAGCATGATCTGCAAAGCAAGCAGAAGTCACAACACCCTGAGTAGGAAGCAGGTCCTAACTATTACTTGGGCACACTCTACATATTTTCTACTTCTTTCATTAGCTACCACTTTGAGGGACATCTTCCAAAGCCTAAATATCATTCTATTCTGCCAGAATGTAGTAAGTATAAAGGAAGATGCGACTTGTCCAATTTGCATGTATCTGGTTGTTCTTGAAGCATGTCAGCAGGTCAAATGTTGAAAAGTGAGAATTTGATATCACTTGGAAATCAAAGATCCTATTAGCTGAGGCCTGAAAGCTGTCTGCCCTTGGTACTTGCTTAAATTCATCCCAACTTGACCCTTTAATCTGTCAAGATTTAAGAGAGCCCTAGAAGAGTAAAGTGAAAAATCTAAAAGCCAACCTGGCTCTGACTGATGAAAATATATACATTCTTTCATATGTGTGGAAAACATGTTGATTGCAGACATTCCTGAGCAGTTAAGCTGTGCCAAACTAGCAGTAATTTAGACTCCTTCGTCTAGAAATGGTTCCAAATTCCTAGGCCAAGGCCTGATTCAGAATTTGCCTGACATGCAGGCTTGGATATTTCTCCAGAAAGAATACTCTCTTCCCCAAGCCACAGAAAGCAGAGATAGTCCTGTTCAACTACGTTGCAGCATTAGAAGAAATATTAAATATGACAAAAGAAATGAACAAGAGGAAATGTTAGTGACTGTCTACAATCCTCCTAAAGTACTAACAGAATATAATGTAGCATCCTTTATTTCTTCTCATTACTCAGATTTTGAAAAGACAATGTACACATCTGTGTAATGATGTGGAAAAACACACCAGTATGAAATATGCTTATGTATATTTGAAATGGGGACCCTTCTTCCTATGGCAAGCAGTTGACAACTTGGCTTTCCAATATTACAATAGGTTTATATTCCAGGATTACAAACTATTTCCAGCTGTTTTCCTGGTTTCTTCTGTGTTTTCAGAATATGATGAGGAAACATGATACCAAAAGCAGTATTAAAAATGGATTAAGAAATGAAGGGACCAGAATTAGGGAACCTTATGTCCTCCATATGTTTTGAACAATTTCTACCACTCCTTGCTCTTTGCCATGCTGACTGGGGCTTATGGAAGTTGGAGTGCAAAACTTCTGTAGTGCATTAGGGTGCTCTTTCCTATAAGAGCTTCTGGGAAAGAAGAAGAGAAGAGTAAAACCCTCAGTTGACACACTCAGTTTAAACTGCCGTTAGGCGATCTTAGGTCACTTTTGGTCATCTTTCATGTGGCTCTAAATTCAACGAATAAGACTCAGATCCCAACAACTAATCTTTAATGTTCTTTTTGGTAATTTATGTTACCAGCCCACTCTATGATTTCCCACTACTTCCTCTAGCTTTTCTCTTACTAGAAAAACAATCTAGTGAAGGAAGAAAATGTGGAATAAGTTATATAATTTAGCGTTTAATTGGTACCGCTTGGAATAATCAGTCTGGAAGCATTCAGAGCTTCATTGAAGACAATAACTCACAAGAAAAAGATACTCATGTGAATCATTCCCAACAAAGAAGAACAGGAAAGCCAGCATTTTATAAGATAGTTTGGACAATACAGCGAAAATGTGATGGAATGGTGTTATGAAGGCCACGCTCAGGGAGATAAGCGTTTCCTTAGCCCTC